CAGCAAGTGCACAGATATTATAAGAAATACTTTATTTTCTCACTTCGAAAAATATTTGATCAGTGATATTTCTACAAATAAATATAGTTTATTATTAGACGAATCAAATGATATTTCTGTACTGAAAGTGCTTGGTGTGTGTATTATATATTACAGCTACAGTACAGACAAAGTAGTCTCTATGTATCTTGGACTAGTTCAAATGGAAAAGTGTGATGCAGAAAGTATAGTTCAGGAACTGACGGAACATTTAATCAGCAAACAGTTAGACTTAAAGAATTTGGCTGCAATTGGTACCGATAATGCCTCGGTGATGGTTGGTATAAACAATGGCGTTTATTTTAAGTTAAACGAAGAACTTGGATGTTTCCATGACACCTTATGACAGTCTTTTGTTTAAAAAAAAGTGAGTTTGTGATGCACAAGTCACTTCTAGTGCCGAATTCCAGTAGTCTCTGCCCATTTGCATTCATATGGCCAACATTATGTTTTCCAAGTTGAACTGGTCCTGGGTTTGAGTCCGATCCCACACGAGCATCTAACTTGAGTCCCTGTGTGTTGTTGCATGATTTCAATGTCCACTGACCACCTCCATGAGCGGAGACACAAAATATCAGATCTGCCTCTGTTGTAGACATCCTCAAGATGTGTGAACCACTACTATCTGTTTATTCTGCAATCCCTGAGATCGCCAGGGCAGCCCCCGTGGTGTAGTGGCTAGACTCTCATCTGCCGACCCCCAGATCGCCAGGGCAGCCCCCGTGGTGTAGTGGCTAGAGCTTCATCTGCCGACCTTGACATCACCAGGGCAGCCCCCGTGGTGTAGTGGCTAGACTCTCATCTGCCGACCCTGAGATCACCAGGGCAGCCCCCGTGGTGTAGTGGCTAGAGCTTCATCTGCCGACCCCCAGATCGCCAGGGCAGCCCCCGTGGTGTAGTGGCTAGACTCTCATCTGCCGACCCTGAGATCACCAGGGCAGCCCCTGTGGTGTAGTGGCTAGAGCTTCATCTGCCGACCCCCAGATCGCCAGGGCAGCCCCCATGGTGTAGTGACTAGAGCTTCATCTGCCGACCTTGAGATCACCAGGGCAGCCCCCGTGGTGTAGTGGCTAGACTCTCATCTGCCGACCCCCAGATCACCAGGGCAGCCCCCGTGGTGTAGTGGCTAGACTCTCATCTGCCGACCTTGAGATCACCAGGGCAGCCCCCGTGGTGTAGTGGCTAGACTCTCGTCTGCCGACCCCCAGATCGCCGGGGCAGCCCCCATGGTGTAGTGGCTAGACTCTCGTCTGCCGACCTCCAGATCACCGGGGCAGCCCCCGTGGTGTAGTGAGTAGAGCTTCATCTGCCGACCTTGAGATCACCAGGGCAGCCCCCGTGGTGTAGTGGCTAGACTCTCGTCTGCCGACATTGAGATCACCAGGGCAGCCCCCGTGGTGTAGTGGCTAGAGCTTCATCTGCCGACCTTGAGATCGCCAGGGCAGCCCCCGTGGTGTAGTGGCTAGACTCTCGTCTGCCGACCTTGAGATCACCAGGGCAGCCCCCGTGGTGTAGTGGCTAGAGCTTCATCTGCCGACCCTGAGATCACCGGGGCAGCCCCCGTGGTGTAGTGGTTAGACTCTCGTCTGCCGACCTTGAGATCACCGGGGCAGCCCCCGTGGTGTAGTGGCTAGACTGTCATCTGACGACCCCCAGATCACCAGGACAGCCCCCGTGGTGTAGTGGCTAGACTCTCGTCTGCCGACCCCCAGATCGCCAGGGCAGCCCTTGTGGTGTAGTGGCTAGACCCTCATCTGCCGACCCTGAGATCACCGGGGCAGCCCCCGTGGTGTAGTGGCTAGACTCTCATCTCCCGACCCCCAGATCACCAGGGCAGCCCTGTGGTGTAGTGGCTAGACCTTCGTCTGCCGATCCGAGGGTCATGGGTCAGGTCCTATTGGAGCCTGACTATTTCAGAATGACCCTGGCTCCCACATCGACCTAGACTTACATGGGTACCAGATGAAGTACCAGAAATTAAAGGCGGCCGGCGTGATGTGGACCATACCACTCACCGAGCAGCAAGACGCAGCTGAATTTGAAAGCAAGTTTCCTATCGACTGCGCTAACGTGGTCCCATGGCTTGTGCATACAGGCAGCAAAGGACGGTCCACGAAATGGCTTGTGCGTGCAGGTAACATAATATATGCTCAATACACATAAAGGAGTGGAAAACGATTTATTTACTCAGAAAAAGAGAGAACACAACCCCTCTCTTTGCGTGCGCCTTTGAAGGTTGGTCTTTGACAAGCACCACTTTATTGCACCATGCAACATCCGTTTATACAATTTGTTAATTTAATGAAGCACAATAAGAAAAATTGTGCCAACTAAAAATATTGTCACGAACTAGTCGTGGACTGCTGTTTCTTACAGTGCCATCTGTAGCTTCAGGTCTCGCAAATCTGTAACCTTAACATCTACTGCTTTGTTAAGTTTATGAAATGTTAGATTTCTTAGTTAATAAAAACAAAAATATTTAATTATTTGTAATTTAATGCTAAATTAGTATACTATATGCTTGTTAAATTGAACTTTTTATTACTTAATAGTCAGTTTATATAAATCTGTATATTTTGCAATAATCTAAAACAAATTAAATGTGTTTAAGAGTTATGTCCCTTAGTAAAATGTAGTGGAATAATTAATTCCCTTGGAAGTAAAATGTGAAACAATTTAACAGATTAAATAGTTCGTGTGTCAATAATACATAAATTAAAACACTATACGCGCGCGTGCGCATGCACAAACACACACATACACACCACACAAAAGCACTCCAGCATGCACACAGATACTCACGTGCGCGCGCATATGTTTATATATATATTATTTGTCGACTCTGTGGTTAAGTCGATGCGAACGCTTCGTAATGCCGAGTTCGATCCCAGCTGCGCGTCATGTGCCTTGCGTTGGTTTTGACAGTGGTATCAGGGAGCCTACCGTCCAGAAGGAAATGGCAAACGACTGGACGTAAATTTACCCAGAAAAACCACACAACAGCCAGGAGCTGCTGGGTTTGGTTCTGCAACGTCCTGTCAAGGATCCGCAACTAACCTATGTATATTATTTACATCACACACACATACACCCGAATATACTTCTCGTCCTATTTAGGACGAAATTTTTCGTTAATTGAAGCCCTACTCCGGCTTTTGCCGGGAGCCGCAAAATAGGCTGGCCATAAATATGGCCTAAAGGCTCAACGAGGTTTCTGGGACCTCTCCACGGTGATCCTCACCCACATGGTGGCACATTGGGCGTTTATCGCTTGTGTGATGTCCTGGTTGGGTAGAAAAACAGTCAGTCGACACACACACACCCACTACACACACACACACACACACACACACACACACACACACACCAACCACACGCGCACTTATTACAGCTATTTAACATCAATGCCTAGTCCAGACTTAAGGGTCCCCCTATAACCTTACAACTGATAACGGGAATTTGTATCTGAAGCGCGTGGTATATGACGTGGTTCTTGGTAAATGAGGTTTCTGGTAGACGAGGCTTATGAACTGTAACTCTATCTCAGTACAGCTCGCAATGTTTCGTTGCGCATGGGAGTTAATTATTTGTTGTGCGGTCATGGTGGGGTGGAACGTCACTCACCCAGATGAGGTTACTGTTGTAGGCAAACATGGCTCCTAAAACATGAGACTCATGGAAGACGACGAACGTCACTTTGACACGGGTACCTGGATGTGAGTATATATGTACTGGGTGTGTGTACATGTGTACTGGGTGTGTGTACTTGTGTACCTGGATGTGTGTACCTATGTCCCTTGCTGTCTGTTGCTTATCACTTTCCCACTTATATGCAAGAACATCATCTGCAAAAGTCAATATCCTGCAATAGCAAACTATCACTGGATCAAGAAATCAACATCAGACTAGCTAAGGCAGCAACAACATTGAGCAGATTAACAAAGAGAGTTTGGGAGAACAGAAAACTCACAAAACCCTTGTCTATCAGGCTTGTGTTCTTAGCACTCTGCTTTACGGCAGTGAAACTTGGTCAACCTATTTGCACCAGGAGAGACGGCCAAATAGCTTTCACAGGCGATGCTTAAGAAGAATACTTGGCATTAAGTGACAGGACAAAATCACAAACACTGAGGTACTGGAAAGAGATGGTACTACAAATCTTTTCCATGCTCAGTCTACAAAGGCTCAAGTGGCTTGGTCACACCTGGAGAATGGAGTCCCTAAGAACATTCTCTATGGTAAATTAGAAATGGGTAGATGACGTCGAGGCCAGCCTCTACTACAATATAAAGTTGTGTGCAAGTGGGACATGAATGATACAGGCATCTGGGTAGATTCATGTAAACAAAATGCCAAGCACCATGTTGGGTGTGGAGTGGAGGATTGGTGGGGGGAGGGGGGATCATGAAGAGAATTCGAATGAAGGAAAACATTATCTCAGAAAGGTTGAGAGCCGAGTGTGTGAGAAGACACGAGTGTGTGAGAAGACACGAGTGTGTGAGAATTCACAAGTGTGTGAGAAGACACGAGTGTATGAGAAGACACGAGTGTGTGAGAAGACACGAGTGTGTGAGAAGACACGAGTGTGTGAGAAGACACACACTGAATAAATGTGATGGCAATGGTGGTCCTAAACTTTTGTGCTCTAATTGTGGATTCTGACAGATTATAGAAAAACAATGGAGCAGTATCATCTGTTATGGACAATGAGGCAGTATCGTCTTGTATCATTTATAGCAGACAATTCAACAATTCACTGTGACAGACAATGAAGCAGTATCATCTGTGTCAAATAAAAAGACAGTGGCACAAGATTATCCATGACTGCCTAACCAAGAAATGTACTGTGTCTCAGCAAAGAGTCCTCCTAGGGCATCAGAAAGTTCAGGAAAAAACTAATAAAAAACAAAAATAATAACAAGAATAGATTGTTTGAGGAAAGCCATCTTGTCTCTCACCAGGTTCAACTTCTGGCACCAAGGTGACTGGCAGGAGGTTGTTGTGGATGACAGACTACCCACCTACCGCAACCAGCTGGTCTTCATGCACTCCACGGAGAAGAATGAGTTCTGGAGTGCCCTGCTGGAGAAGGCATACGCCAAGTAAGTTCTAGAAACATGGCATGTCAATTAGATATTTATAATGCCTGTTAGAAACGTATCAATTAGTGATTGATGAAGATTATTATTACAGCACTCTGGACAGATCTGTAGGTGCTCCGATCTCTTCCTCAGAAGCTCCACACATTTGAAATGACTGATGACGGCTGTTCTGTGTTGATTAAACAGACATCTTGGTTCCCTGGTGAAATATTCATTTATTTCAGCTCCACTTTGCAACCCCCATGCCCATCAGACTAGGGATATGGATCTCTTTAAGTTGTGCTCCAAGTTTCAGAACCAAATAAAATGACTGGTCTTATCGTTTTATATATTTTGATCTTGGTGTTCTGAGACATACACTTTGACTTTAGTAGATGTTAAAGGGGATAGTATACTTTATTTCCAGATTTTATTCTAGATAGTATTTCTTCTCTCAGCATGGTGGAGCAGTTAAAGTTTGCACCCAAGTACTTATATGTTTCTGTTCATTTGATTTTCATATTATCGGCTTATTTGTGGCCTGTCTAGTTAATATCATGTATTCTGTCTTATCTTGATTGATAACTAGTCAGATTTTTTTAGCTGATTCTTTTAAGAGAATCAGTACTCCCCCATCCTAAAGCTCACAAATGTCATATTTTCAACATCGTCATGTTCACAAATGTCATATACTCCTCATCATGAAGCTCGCAAATGTCATATACTCCCCATCTTGAAGCTCGCAAATGTCATATACTCTGCACCTTGGCTTAAAGTTTACCAATGTCATATTTTCTTCATCCTGATGTTCACAAATGTCACATTTTCTTCACCCTGAAGTTCACAAATGTCACATTTTCTTCATCCTGATGTTAACAAATGTCATATTTTCTTCATCCTGATGTTCACAAATGTCACATTTTCTTCATCCTGATGTTCACAAATGTCACATTTTCTTCATCCTGATGTTCACAAATGTCACATTTTCTTCATCCTGATGTTCACAAATGTCATATTTTCTTCATCCTGATATTCACAAATGTCATATTTTCTTCACCCCGATGTTCACAAATGTCATATTTTTTCATCCTGATGTTCACAAATGTCATATTTTCTTCATCCTGATGTTCACAAATGTCATATTTTCTTCATCCTGATGTTCACAAATGTCATATTATCTTCATCCTGATGTTCACAAATGTCATATTTTCTTCATCGTGATGTTCACAAATGTCATATTTTCTTCATCCTGATGTTCGCAAATGTCATATTTTCTTCATCCTTATGTTCACAAATGTCATATTTTCAACATCCTGATGTTCACGAATGTCATATTATCTTCATCCTGATGTTCACAAATGTCATATTTTCTTCATCCTGATGTTCACAAATGTCATATTTTCTTCATCCTGATGTTCGCAAATGTCATATTTTCTTCATCCTTATGTTCACAAATGTCATATTTTCAACATCCTGATGTTCACGAATGTCATACACTCAGCACCTTGGAGTTCACAACTGACTCCAGTATTTCATCCCCTAGGCTGATGGGATCCTACGAGTCTCTGAAAGGTGGCAGCACCAGTGAGGCAATGGAAGACTTCACGGGGGGTGTCACTGAGATGTTTGATCTGAGGAATGCTCCCCCGAACCTGCTGAACATCATGCTGAAGGCTTACGAGCGCGGATCTCTGATGGGCTGTTCCATCGATGTATGTGGACATTTGAAATCTTGTCTACACAGTTTGGCATGGTGCTATTCAAACTGTCTTGTCTTGTTGCTTTGTAGCTTGTCATCTCTAGACAGTTATTGCTATTGTAATTGTGCCTATATATCTGTGTACCTGGATGTGTGTAAATGTGTACCTGGATTTGTGTACATGTGTACCTGGATGTGTGTACATGTGTACCTGGATGTGTACATGTGTATCTGGATGTCTGGACATGTGTACCTGGATGTGTGTACATATGTACCTGGATGTGTGTACATGTGTACCTGGATGTGTACATGTGTACCTGGTTGTCTGTACATGTGTACCTGGATGTCTGTACATGTGTACCTGGATGTATGTACATGTGTACCTGGATGTATGTACATGTGTACCTGGATGTGTGTTCATGTGTACCTGGATGTGTGTATATGTGTACCTGGATGTATGTACATATGTACCTGGATGTGTGTTCATGTGTACCTGGATGTCTGTACATGTGTACCTGGATGTATGAACATGTGTACCTGGATGTATGTACATATGTACCTGGATGTGTGTACATGTGTACCTGGATGTGTGTTCATGTGTACCTGGATGTGTGTTTATGTGTACCTGGATGTATGTACATATGTACCTGGATGTGTGTTCATGTGTACCTGGATGTGTGTAAATGTGTACCTGGCTGTGTGTACATGTGTACCTGGCTGTACATGTACACCTGAATTATTGTACACCTGTACCTGTATGTTTTTACATACACACCTGAATGTGTGTCTCTCCATCAGGCTGTGCCAGGACAGACAGAAGCAGAGCTGGACAATGGGCTCATCTGTGGCCATGCCTACAGTGTCACCAACGTCAAGCTGGTGAGGCTCTCCATCACTTGTACATTCTTGTTACTTTCTCCATCGCTTGTACATTCTTGTTACTTTTCCCGTCACTTGTATATTCTTGTTACTTTCTCCGTCACTTGTACATTCTTGTTACTTTCTCCGTCACTTGTACATTCTTGTTACTTTCTCCGTCACTTGTACATTCTTGTTACTTTCTCCGTCACTTGTACATTCTTGTTACTTTCTCCGTCACTTGTACATTCTTGTTACTTTCTCCGTCACTTGTACATTCTTGTTACTTTCTCTGTCACTTGTACATTCTTGTTACTTTCTCTGTCACTTGTACATTCTTGTTACTTCCTCCGTCACTTGTACATTCTTGTTACTTTCTCTGTCACTCCTGTTGCATTTTAATCATTGTTCACTTCTTCCTTCTTTATCAGAAGAGAGGACGTAAATATATTCATATTTTCTCCCCATCGCATACTTCTTGGTTTCATCTTGAGCTTGGTTTTTTATGAACTCTGTTGTCTTGTCCATTGAGTTTTCTAGTCACAGTTCATGGTGTATATAGAACTCTGTTGTCTTGTCCATTGAGTTTTCTAGTCACAGTTCATGGTGTATGTAGAACTCTGTTGTCTTTTCCATAGAGTTTTCTAGTCACAGTTCATGGTGTATGTAGAACTCTATTGTCTTGTCCATTGAGTTTTCTAGTCACAGTTCATGGTGTGTGTAGAACTCTGCTGATAAAGAAATGTTCGGTTGTGTTTGTGTGCCTCTTTTCCATTCCTTCTTTTCCATTCCTTCTTTTCCATTCCTTCTATTTGAGCTTTCTAGTCACATTTTATGTTATATTCAGCATTTTTTTATGAGAACCTCTCCATGAGAAATCAAACTTGATTTTCAAAGGACTCTAAACTGAGCTTGCAATATCAAATTCACAAGGCTGTTACATGAGTGAATTTGAATGTGAGCATAGACTCAGTATAGATTATGTTTACTTGAGAGAGCGACAGAGAGACAGACAGACAGATAAACAGGCACACACTTTCACACTCTCATGCACGCATGCATGCATAAATGAGAATGCCCACACACACACACACACACACAGGCATGCATACGCACACACACACACACATGCATGCACCCATGCACCTGCACACACACACACACATGCACACACACACACACACAGACACACACACAGGCACACATACGCGCACACACACACACATGCACGCACGCATGCACGCACGTGCACACATACACACACATGCACACACAGAATAAAAGAATTAATTCAGCTTCAGTAATATAATCTGATTACTTCATAATTTTCATTAACATATTCACACTCTTCACTCTAGTTTAGCAACTTTCACAATTGTCACATTGTTCACACTTCCAAACTTCATCTGTGTTTCATAAACTGCAACTTTTCAGCAAATACTCATATGTTTTGGTCCGCAAAGTTATAAAAGGAAATCTTACGGTGTTAGCCAGATTTTAGCAGTTAATTTAGAATGCAGATTTTGACACATCTTTGTTTCATTACAGGTCAGATGGTTTTGTTTTGACTAAATATGTGATATTTTTACTAAGTGGGAGTTTGTTTTATTTGATATTCAATATTTCTACAACAGATGTAATATTTTCAACCAGACAGTAAATGATATTCCTGCTAAACATGTCATGTCTTTGCCAGGCTGACATCAAGACTCCAAGAATGCAGGGTCAGATGCCTATGGTGAGAATTCGTAATCCGTGGGGAAATAGTTCCGAGTGGAAGGGAGCATGGAGTGATGGGTGAGTCATATGGATCTTACTTTAGAATCTGTTTACATCATTCAAGAAACGGGTTTAGAATTAACTTACATTGATTGAAGGCAGTGTTGGTTTAATACCATCATGTAATAATATATTGAATCTTCCTCACTTATATTTGAATTGCACAATCTAGTTATAAACTAAATGTTATTTACTAGATTGAATGATACTTGTGTAATTATAACATAAGTTTTCTATAGTAGTTTGATTATCTAATTATAAATTAAATCTTCAGTCCTCATTTGGGTGTGTGTGTGGTACTGCTAATTCCTTCGACCCCAGCACTTTTTGAACTTAGGACTGTGACAAGCAACCTCTGCTTCGTTAGTGTTTATGAACATTTGCTTGAACAAATAAATACATCTCCAGACATTCAGTACAAATATGGAGGAGCTTTGAAAGTTTCAGATGTTTTACTTTTTCCTGTTACTATTTCATAAATGGAGCCAAGACTTTTAGCAAGCCTCTTGTTTCACTTTTTTTTTTTTTATGGTTTTATTAATTATTTCAAACTTATGGTTCTTTTAGTTTGTTGTTGTTGTTGCTAAATTATGGTTCTGTTAAACATTTTTCTTTACTTGTTAGATCGAGGGAGTGGTCTCTGATCTCAGAAGATGAAAAGCAGGAGCTTGGACTGGTCTTTGATGATGATGGTGAATTTTGGTAAGTTGCACTTTTTAAATTCTAAATTTTGGTGTTTGAAATTTCTTGGTGATGACTTGTTCATAGCGATTCTACTCACAATTACATCTTTAATAGTAGCAACTGTGGTGAGGTATCGTAAATGAAAACCATGGTGAGATACCTTGAGTGAAAACTGTCACGAGTTAGAGTGAAAACTGTGGTGAGATACCTTCATTATTTTTAATTTAATGGTAGAAACATTTCCTAAGCACCAAGATTTCAAGACTGATATAAAGTGTATATCATCATCACGTGCTCTGCCGACTGGCGAAGACATTCATGCCACAGATCTCCGTCCCTTGTCCTCTGGATCGGTTCCACCAATGATTACCCTCTGTGCATCTGTCGCAATTCATGCATCATCGTCTCTCTCAGTCTGCCTCTCCCACTTCTACTGTTGATCTTCCTAGTCGTCACAGTATTCTCCAAAGCCCCCAGCCCCTTTCACAAACCAAAGAACAGTGCTTGTCTTTTCCTTATAGCTGTATATATTGATTTGTTTTCATTAGTTTCTTTCAAGCAAGCAATCTTCGTTAGTTACTCTCGCAGTTTAAGGGATTCCTAACATACGTCTGAGAAACCACATCTCCATAGCCTCCGAATTCTTTCTAATTTGTGTATTCACATTCCATGATTCACTACCATACAGCAATATAGGTTTTACATAACATTTTAGTACTCTCTTTCAGACATCCAAAGAGAGGGCCCTTTTGCACAAGATGTTCTTTATTCTGTAAAATGCATCCTTAGTTTAATGTATTTGGATTAGATATCTATTTTTGCATTTTGAAATCCTTAAAAATTTTACACTTCCTAAAATGGCATGCAAAGACAATGTGAATATGTGTGTATTGTATAGAGTGACATTTTTGTAGAATTACTGATTGTGGGAAAAGAAATTATTCTAAACATTCATAAATGCTTGTCTGAGGTGTATGGAAATTGTGCAAGTGATAGAAGCACTGTTGGTAACTGAAATTAGTTAAAGCCTCAGGAAGTGGAGAGACTTTAGGATGTCACTGGTGCTGTAAATACATGGGTACATGAACTGGACAAAACCAGATATAGGCAAGGCGTGCATAACCTTATTTGTTTCTGGTTGGTGTAAATTCTCAGACATGGACGGAGATTTCATAGAGAATTAGATGCATGAAGGACATAATGAGATGTATAGTCAATGAATTTTATTCAGAGAGGAATTACTTTCTTTGGCCTCAAATATGTGTGTGCTTGTGTGTATTTGTGTGTGTGCATGTGATTTGTGTGTATGTGTGTGTATATATATATACAGTGATATACAATGATTCTAAGGTGATTCTAAGGCTTATGTAATACTGTTGTTTGCTCACAGGATGTCCTTTAAAGATTTTACAGCAAACTTTCAAAAACTAGAGATCTGCAACTTAGGTCCTGACTCACTGGACGAGGATGACCTTGACAACAAGAAGAAGTGGGAGTGCTTCAAGGAGAATGAAGCTTGGATCAAGAGAGTCAATGCTGGGGGATGTCGTAACTACATAGGTAATGTTTCATATGTCATCACAGGTCACAAAGGGGCAATCATCAGAAACAACATTTTCATGATTTATTCTTTATGTCCCTCTATATAGTTACATTTTGAGTCCAACATAAATGGGCATAGCAAAGATTTATGTTACAAACAATTGGTCAGATTAGGAATTATCTTGTCTCACTGTAGACGAGAGCTTCTAGAATTCAAATGGTAAAATAGAATTGGCAGGAGAGAGACAATTAACTCTTGCACTAAAGATGTCTGTCACTTTAAAAAACAGACAACACCAGGCTGTACGAGTTTTGGTAATGCCTGTCAAGGTCACAGTGAGTTAATGTTTTTCAAGGTCACAATAAATTAAAGTAGTGCCTGAGACAAAGCAAGTAAAGTAATGTTTATCAAGGTCACACTGAATTAAAGTAGTGCCTGAGACAAAGCAAGTAAAGTAATGTTTATCAAGGTCACACTGAATTAAAGTAGTGCCTGAGACAAAGCAAGTAAAGTAATGTTTATCAAGGTCACACTGAATTAAAGTAGTGCCTGAGACAAAGCAAGTAAAGTAATGTTTATCATGGTCACACTGAATTAAAGTAGTGCCTGAGACAAAGCAAGTAAAGTAATGTTTATCATTATTGTACGCTATAGGAATATGGTCAATAGTTCAACAGTGTGAGGACAGGACTTAAGTTTCATCAATATGGCTTTATAGAGAACTAGGAGGATTCTCCTGGCAGGAGAGGAAACCACATAGACACATGCTGGCAGTGAACATGATTGGAAGAGATCTAGGACTGACGATAATGTTCTACAGCCATATAAAGGTTAAAGGTTAAAGTCAAGAGGATCGACCTCATTGCACCAGGGTTTATCCCATATGGCTCAGCCTCTCTCCACAGAATGATCAGCTGCCTGCTGAGAGCATCGCACAGAGCACTAACTCCAGAGCTCCGGTGATGATCCCCAGGGATCTCTCTGTAAAAATTGCACTCATGAACTTAGGGGTATAGCCGTGGAGTGAACCCACCACCTTCAGAGCGCGATGCAAATGGCTTGACTGATTTTCCACGGAGACCCCCCACAGTCAAATAAAGTGACACAGTTCTCTGTGAAAGGATATGGTGTAGAGGGCACTTGCAAAAAGAAGACAGTGTTACAAGTGGGTGGACAACATCAAGAGATTGACTAGCAAAAGTTGTTGGAGACCAATTACAGTCAACTTTCAGTGTGAAGATGGCACCTGACTGATTGACAGGCAAGCAGATCAGCCAGGCCTTGAGAAGGGCGATACATATTTCTGGCCAAACATGGAAATGATCAACGTTCAGACTTTGTGACTGATATAACATTGAGATATCAGTTGTTCAACAAGCTAGAGATATGAGATACTATGCAATATTTGAATGAACAAATGAATGAATTAACAAACAAATTTTGTGTTCAGAGGTTTAAGAATAGGACACACAGACCCATCTACCATTATGCCCGTCTAATCTCCCTCATTTCATACACCATTGAATGAAACTGAGACATCAGTAAAATGATGGCTATATGTTTGTTGTCAGCATAACCAAGATATGAACCACAGGGACAATGTGTTTCGCATGCAAGAGCTTTCTTCCTGTATAGATGATGACGTCTGCTTCGCTGGAAGAGACCCATATCTTCCGGAAGAAGTCAATACAAAATTTGTAGATAATAATTATAATCTGTATCTTTATGTCTCTCCAGTCTCAATTAACTGGTCTCCAGTTTCTTGACACTGACAGCAGAAATCATTTTGTTTAACAGACACTTTTTGGACGAACCCGCAGTTCCGAATGACCTTGACTGACCCAGATGATGATGACGAGGAAGAGCTGTGCACTGCAATTGTTGCTGTACTTCAAAAAGACAGACGCAAGAAACGCAAGGAAGGTCTGGATCTGCTGACTATTGGTTATGTCATCTACAAGGTAATCACATCGTCTACAAGATAATCACATTATCTACAAGGTAACCAAATAATCTACAAGGTAGCCACATCATCTTCAAGGTAACCACATAATCTACTAGGTAGCCACATAATATACAAGATAATCACATTATCTACAAGGTAACCACATAATATACAAGATAATCACATTATCTACAAGGTAACCACATAATATGCAAGATAATCACATTATCTACAAGGTAACCACATAATCTACAAGATAACCACAAAATCTACAAGGTAATCACATAATCTACAAGGTAATCACATAATCTACAAGGTAATCACATCTTCTTCAAGGTGATCACATAATCTAAAAGGTAATCACATCATCTACAATGTAATCACATAATCTACAAGGTAATCACATCTTCTTCAAGGTAATCACATAATCTAAAAGGTAATCACATCATCTACAATGTAATCACATAATCTACAAGGTAATCAAATCATCTACAAGGTAATCACATCATTTACAAAGTAATCACATCATCTACAAGGTAATCACATCATCTACAAGGTAATCACATCATCTACAAGGTAGCCACATCATCTTCAAGATAATCACATCATCTACAAGGTAGTCACATCATCTACAAGGTAGCCACATCATCTACAAGGTAATCACATCATCTACAAGGTAATCACATCATCTACAAGGTAGCCACATCATCTTCAAGGTAATCACATAATCTAAAAGGTAATCACATAATCTACAAGGTAATCACATCATCTACAAGGTAATCACATCATCTACAAGGTAATCACATCATCTACAAAGTAATCACATCATACAAGGTAATCACATCATACAAGGTAATCACATCATCTACAAGGTAATCACATAATCTACAAGGTAATCACATCATCTACAAGGTAATCACATAATCTACAAGGTAATCACATTATCTACATGATAATTGTATTGTTTTAGTCCTTCTAGATGATGTAAACCTTCATGTCTCTCTACAATACATGGAAAGATAAAAAACTGAATGAAAAGTATACCATCGAGCTTCACAATATAACAAACACAAACACAGTGTGAATGTTACGGCTATGGAGCCTTCTTCAGCACATACATAGATTAGACACAAATACACTATCACTTATCTTCGTATCTCGTGGCAGCCAGGTGGATGTCAAGCCAAGTCTCGCGAGGCACGTGGGACCGGGAAAATAAATATGCCATCAGTCTTCAAAGTTGTGGATTTTTTCTGTGGATGATATTCCTCTATGAGGCTCTCTTAGACCATGCCCTGACTTCCCTTCCACTGATCTTTCCAACTGCTTGTAATGTCAACTTTATGCAGCTGCTCTAATTAATTTTCTTCTTTAATACATCTGTTCTAATTAATATTCTACCTTCTCACAGTTGCTCTAATTAATGTTCTACTTTGACTGTTTGAGTCCCATGGGGTTTAGCATCAGAAGCCCAAGGGGTGATGAAAAAAGACGAAAAATTGGTGCATTTTGCATTTATTGGGCTTCTAGGTAGGTACCTTCAAATGTTTAATGGGTTCCTTAGGACTTGAAGAGTTAATACATCTGCTCTAGCTAATGTTCTACTTTCTCACATCTACTCTAGTTATTGTTCTACTTTCTTACAGATGCTCTAATTAATGTTCTACTTTCTTACAGCTGCTCTAGTTACTGCTCTACTTTCTTACATCTGCTCTAGTTAATGTTCCACTTTCTTACATCTGCTCTAATGAATGTTCTACTTTCTTACAGCTGCTCTAGTTACTGCTCTACTTTCTTACAGTTACTCTAGTTAATGTTCCACTTTCTTACAGCTGCTCTAATTAATGTTCTACTTTCTTACAGCTGCTCTAGTTAATGTTCTACTTTCTTACAGTTGCTCTAGTTAATGTTCTACTTTAATACATCTGCTCTAATTATTGTTCTACTTTCTTACAGCTGCTCTAATTAATGTTCTACTTTAATACATCTGCTCTAATTAATGTTTCACTTTCTTACAGACACTGTAATTAATGTTCTACTTTCTCACAACTGCTTGTAATTTTCTACTTTTTTTACAGCTCTGTTTTTCTGTGTATCTACGATATTCTTTGCATCTTTCTCAGAGATTAATTTTTGCTGCTATTAGATGTTTCTCACTTTGCTTTTTGTCCATGATGTACATGTATACAATACTGTAGGTTCTTTGCTGATGTCTCTGATTGTATTGATGTCAGTGACTGTATTGATGTCACTGATTGTAATTGACTATATTGATGTCACTGACTGTTTACACACAGCTTGAAGATCCAGACTGTGGCCCGCTGGATATGAAATTTTTCAAGTACAATGCCTCAGTGGCCAAGTCTCCAACTTTCGTCAACATGAGAGAAGTCTGTGGCAGACACAAGTTGCCTCCTGGCACATATGCAATTGTTCCATCCACTTTTGAACCTCATTATGAAGGAGAATTCCTTTTGAGAATTTTTACGGAGAAAGCCAATATTTCTGGGTATGTTTTATTTTTTTTTCTAACAGTTATTTTTATTGAAATATTGGAACAAAAAAGATTTTAAGCATGCAAACATCACTGGTATGATTGTAGTTCAAGATCAACTTTACTGTCCAACACTGTACCTATTTCGATGTCCGTGGCTTAGGCGTTGCAAGTCCGACTCATAATTCCAGTGTACCGCGATCAAAACCCACTGCTGGTTTGCTTGAATTGTAATCATGTTATGGGGCATCGCAGGTCGACCAAGTCTAACATGGGTACAAGGATGTATGTCCTGGGGGAAGTGAAGACGTCTGGCATAATGCTGACCACATTAGTCACCTAGTGCCGATTGATCTGTAAAAATATGGGCTTTCCCATATGCCTGATGCGCCTAAAGGCTGGAAAAGGGATTTTCACTGACTCTTTACTTTACTTACTGTACCTACTGGAACTACTCAGGAAAAAATAAAGCCGGAAAAGATAAAATATGAGCTGAACATATAATATTTGGAAATTTTCAGCAAACATTCCTGGCAAGAAAGCTGAAAATAAAAGACACAAGTGGAAAATTGATATACAGAGTTCAACAAGGCAAGATGGTGGACAACTGGTGTGTGTAATCAGTTTGTGTGTTTGTTATTGTTTAATGTATCCATGTGACTTTATTTTCCGTGTACTTGTCTTTCACCACTGACACTGTGCATGGTGCTATATTTTAAAGTTGTTCTTCAGCTTTTGTGTTTCTGTAACTGTGTGTGAAGAAGAATAATACTACTAGAAACAATTTAATCTTATTGTTGACTGTGTTTTGCTTATTGTATGTGTCTGTTGCCCTTCACAGAGAAATTGATGAGCAGACCAGACTTGATGATGAGCCTGTGAGTTGATTGTTTCGTTACCTGTGAAATATTTTATATCTTTAGGATTGTTTCGTTACCTGTGAAATATTTTATATCTTTAGCTTTTAAGTTATATAACACTGTAAAACCTCATTAAAGCGAATTTCCTGTGGTGAACTCACTCCGTTAACCTGTGCAACTTTCTGCTCCCGGCACAGATGCATTATTATTGATCCAACGTTACTGATTTTTTTTTTGTTCCTGGGAATTCATGTTAACAAGGTTTTACTGAACTTCGTTTAGTGTATATCTGACTTTTCTTCTTTGTTTTTCTTTTCTTCTTTAAAATATTTTCTAGTATAGTTTTTGTTCAGTTAACCTGTCACACATCAAGATACTGCAGATCTCACTCATGTTAAATGGTCATGTGTATTGTACATGTTTGACTGGCTGTTCATCATCATCATGTGCCTCACTGTGATTCTATTCCATGACCAGAATTGTGTGTCTGTCATCTCTAAATGTCTTAGATATATACCGAATCCTGCCTAATGGCAGTTAAGTTCAGTATTACATATATCATCACCAAATGTTTACTTTCTTTTTCTTCCTCCTTTTTTCCTCCTCTTCCTCCTCCTCTTACTTTTTCTTCTTCTTGAGGTTCATTGCTGCAGATATCAGCTGCCTCCATTCATCTCTGTGATTTGACTTCTGTTTCCACTCGGTGACTCCACTGTTTGTAGGTCTGCTTGTATATAATCTGTCTACCATCTTGGTCTGTCTAATGGCCATCCAAATCTGTTATGTACGCATTATTTGTTTGTCTGTTGTCTGATATTCTCTAATCCGTCCTAGCCATGGTTGTATGTTAGCCCTCATGATGCCAGAGATAAGCAGTGATTTAGATAGAATATGGAATTTGTTGTTGCTTTTCACTCTCCATTGTCAATTGTTTGCAACTTTTATGGTACCAAAGAGTCATCAGAAGTCTGTAATAAGACTTTGTCTCTTTAAGTTGTATTCCTAGTTTCAGAATCAAATAGGACAGTTAGTCCTATCAATGATTTGTATACTGTGACCTGATGGTACCAAAGAGTCATCAGAAGTCTGTAATAAGACTTTGTCTCTTTAAGTTGTATTCCAAGTTTCAGAATCAAATAGGACAGTTAGTCCTGTCAATGATTTGTATACTGTGACCTGATGGTACCAAAGAGTCATCAGAAGTCTGTAATAAGACTTTGTCTCTTTAAGTTGTATTCCAAGTTTCAGAATCAAATAGGACAGTTAGTCCTGTCAATGATTTGTATACTGTGACCTGATGGTACCAAAGAGTCATCAGAAGTCTGTAATAAGACTTTGTCTCTTTAAGTTGTATTCCAAGTTTCAGAATCAAATAGGACAGTTAGTCCTGTCAATGATTTGTATACTGTGACCTGATGGTACCAAAGAGTCATCAGAAGTCTGTAATAAGACTTTGTCTCTTTAAGTTGTATTCCAAGTTTCAGAATCAAATAGGACAGTTAGTCCTGTCAATGATTTGTATACTGTGACCTGATGGTACCAAAGAGTCATCAGAAGTCTGTAATAAGACTTTGTCTCTTTAAGTTGTATTCCAAGTTTCAGAATCAAATAGGACAGTTAGTCCTGTCAATGATTTGTATACTGTGACCTGATGGTACCAAAGAGTCATCAGAAGTCTGTAATAAGACTTTGTCTCTTTAAGTTGTATTCCAAGTTTCAGAATCAAATAGGACAGTTAGTCCTGTCAATGATTTGTATACTGTGACCTGATGGTACCAAAGAGTCATCAGAAGTCTGTAATAAGACTTTGTCTCTTTAAGTTGTATTCCAAGTTTCAGAATCAAATAGGACAGTTAGTCCTGTCAATGATTTGTATACTGTGACCTGATGGTACCAAAGAGTCATCAGAAGTCTGTAATAAGACTTTGTCTCTTTAAGTTGTATTCCAAGTTTCAGAATCAAATAGGACAGTTAGTCCTATCAATGATTTGTATACTGTGACCTGATGGTACCAAAGAGTCATCAGAAGTCTGTAATAAGACTTTGTCTCTTTAAGTTGTATTCCAAGTTTCAGAATCAAATAGGACAGTTAGTCCTATCAATGATTTGTATACTGTGACCTGATGGTACCAAAGAGTCATCAGAAGTCTGTAATAAGACTTTGTCTCTTTAAGTTGTATTCCAAGTTTCAGAATCAAATAGGACAGTTAGTCCTGTCAATGATTTGTATACTGTGACCTGATGGTACCAAAGAGTCATCAGAAGTCTGTAATAAGACTTTGTCTCTTTAAGTTGTATTCCAAGTTTCAGAATCAAATAGGACAGTTAGTCCTGTCAATGATTTGTATACTGTGACCTGATGGTACCAAAGAGTCATCAGAAGTCTGTAATAAGTTTGTCTCTTAAGTTGTATTCCAAGTTTCAGAATCAAATAGGACAGTTAGTCCTGTCAATGATTTGTATACTGTGACCTGATGGTACCAAAGAGTCATCAGAAGTCTGTAATAAGACTTTGTCTCTTTAAGTTGTATTCCAAGTTTCAGAATCAAATAGGACAGTTAGTCCTATCAATGATTTGTATACTGTGACCTGATGGTACCAAAGAGTCATCAGAAGTCTGTAATAAGACTTTGTCTCTTTAAGTTGTATTCCAAGTTTCAGAATCAAATAGGACAGTTAGTCCTATCAATGATTTGTATACTGTGACCTGATGGTACCAAAGAGTCATCAGAAGTCTGTAATAAGACTTTGTCTCTTTAAGTTGTATTCCAAGTTTCAGAATCAAATAGGACAGTTAGTCCTGTCAATGATTTGTATACTGTGACCTGATGGTACCAAAGAGTCATCAGAAGTCTGTAATAAGACTTTGTCTCTTTAAGTTGTATTCCAAGTTTCAGAATCAAATAGGACAGTTAGTCCTATCAATGATTTGTATACTGTGACCTGATGTTATGAGAATGGACATTTGATTTTAGGAGTAGAGAGAGCATTCAATTTTAGCAATAGAGCTTGTGATTTTAGCAGATTACATTGACATAAAAACATCCTGAAAAACTGATTTGTAATTGCAATTTTTATGTTGCATGATCAATATTTCTAACTAACCATATTGTAAAAGAAATCTGACATACCTCAACAATACGTATAAGTGAGCATTACAAGTCCATGGTTAAGCATCAACAAGGAAATCAAATTTATAATTTTGAGAGCATGCATCTTCCCTGTAGCAACATACGGATGTGAGCCATGGATTATATCCCAGTTCTTAAGAAAGAAAATAGGGGCTTTTGAACTGAAACACCAAAGAAAGATTCTTAGAATGCAATAGACAAAGAAGAGAAGAAATACTGACATTTTAACAAATCTGAACATCCATGAAGTTTGGCTGCTAAACAGCATCTTGTATCCAAAACTGAAATAGTTTGGTCATATCAAGCGCCGTGGCAATTTGGATAAAAATAATGGCAGAAGGTGGGGTACTAGGAGGAGGGGCAGGGGCTGACCAGCATGAAGATGGGCACAGGATATTATTATATAGTTGACTATAGTTGAGTATGAAAGTGCATGAGGCGGGAGAACTGGCGAGAGACCGAGTTTCTTTCAGGCAGACTGTGATGAGAGCGACGTTCTGCAAAGTACCTGCTACATGATGATGATGATGATATGATAATGTTTAAGTGTGTGTAATGGAATGCACATGCATGTGTGTGTGCGTGCGTGTATGTGCATATGTGTGTGTGTGTATCGGTGGGAGATAGAAAGAGATGTTGTAAAGGGAGTACAAATACGTATTGCATATTCTATAATTTTGCCATGAACAGGTTTAATGTTTATCATTTGTTTAAAAAAAAAACACGAAAACTGTGTCCAAATGTAGTTTCATTTAGCTGCAGCTGAACTCAGACAAAAGCTGACATAAACATGCTTACATTTCCTTGAATGTTTTTTTAATGTATGTATGCATTTCTTATACTAATCATATTCAGAGAAGGGCTCATTTTTTATGTGCCCTTGGGACTGAAATTTTGGGTTAATATTTTGTTGGAAATATGTTTAGAATTATATTATTCCACTCTCTTTACTCACCTTCTTCAAGTGTTTATTTTTCTTGATTCATAAAACATGCATTTTTTCTTGCAACTTTGACTGATTTAAGAATCTTTCCAAATTGTCATGCTTGATGGAATGTGTTTTGTGCAGCTATGTCACTGTTATCACCTCTTACTCTTGTTGTGTATCCACACAAATTAGTTCAAAGATCCACAACCCATCATTCAGAGGCCAGCAGTAAGTTGACCACATTTCGGATTGAATTTCCCATGCATTTTTTTTTTCTCTGGCTTCATAATTTTTTTCTAATTATAATTTTTCCCTGTGTGGTTCTTCTGCATAAGAGTTTCAGCTTGTAATACACGCATTCATTGCACATGTTTGTCTGTGTATAATCAATTTCAAGTGTTGTGGCTTGATTTGACCTTCCGTTGTGTTTTAATGCTTATCCCATCCCTCTACCACATGCACACAGACATACACAGTTGATTGGTTAATGATTTCTGCTACCTCAGCACAGACACAGTTGATTGGTTAATGATTTCTGCTACCTCAGCACAGACACAGTTGATTGGTTAATGATTTCTGCTACCTCAACACAGACATACACAGTTGATTGGTTAATGATTTCTGCTACCTCAACACAGACATACACAGTTGATTGGTTAATGATTTCTGCTACCTCAGCACAGACATACACAGTTGATTGGTTAATGATTTCTGCTACCTCAACATAGACATACACAGTTGATTGGTTAATAATTTCTGCTACATAAACACAGACATACACAGTTGATTGGTTAATGATTTCTGCTACCTCAACACAGACATACACAGTTGATTGGTTAATGATTTCTGCTACCTCAACACAGACATACACAGTTGATTGGTTAATGATTTCTGCTACCTCAACACAGACATACACAGTTGATTGGTTAATGATTTCTGCTACCTCAACACAGGCATACACAGTTGATTGGTTAATGATTTCTGCTACCTCAGCACAGACATACACAGTTGATTGGTTAATGATTTCTGCTACCTCAACACAGGCATACACAGTTGATTGGTTAATGATTTCTGCTACCTCAACACAGGCATACACAGTTGATTGGTTAATGATTTCTGCTACCTCAACACAGACATACACAGTTGATTGGTTAATGATTTCTGCTACCTCAACACAGACATACACAGTTGATTGGTTAATGATTTCTGCTACCTCAACACAGACATACACAGTTGATTGGTTAATGATTTCTGCTACCTCAACATAGACATACACAGCTTTTTGGTTAATGATTTCTGCTACCTCAACACAGACATCAGTGTAACCAGATTTTCTGACTCCCCAAAAATGTTTTGATTATATTTTAGAAAGATTTTGTGTTGCAGAACTTATATTCTAGGATTTAAGATATTTCTCTGACGTAAGTGACAGTACTGAAGCTAGTACAGCTAGAGGAAACTCTCGATGTAGAGGGACAGCTTTCATCATGATGCATTATAAACAATATCACAAACTGTCCAATAATATTGCAAACTATATTACAAATGGGGTAACAAGTTATGTTACAAACTGTGCCACAAATAGTGTACACATTATGTTACAAACAGTAGCACAAACTAGGTTAAAAACATGATCACAAACAAGGTTGCAAGTTCACAATCTAGGTTACAAACATGATCACAAACAAGGTTGCAAGTTCACAAGCTGGGTTACAAACATGATCACAAACTAAGTTGCAAGTTCACAAACTAGGTTACAAACATGATCACAAACTAGGTTGCAAGTTCACAAGCTAGGTTACAAACATGATCACAAACTAGGTTGCAAGTTCACAAACTAGGTTACAAACATGATCACAAGCTAGGTTGCAAGTTCACAAACTAGGTTACAAACATGATCACAAACTAGGTTGCAAGTTCACAAACTAGGTTACAAACATGATCACAAACTAGGTTACAAACATGATCACAAACTAGGTTACAAACATGATTACAAACTCGGTTGCAAGTACACAAGCTAGGTTACAAACATGATCACAAACTAGGTTACAAACATGATCACAAACAAGGTTGCAAGTTCACAAACTAGGTTACAAACATGATCACAAACTAGGTTGCAAGTTCACAAACTAGGTTACAAACATGATCACAAACAAGGATACAAACATGATTACAAACTAGGTTGCAAGTTCAAAAACTAGGTTACAAACATGATTACAAACTAGGTTGCAAGTTCACAAACTAGGTTACAAACATGATCACAAACTAGGTTACAAACATGATCACAAACAAGGTTGCAAGTTCACAAGCTAGGTTACAAACAGTCACAAATTATGTTACATATAGTGTTACAAGCTACATTTTATTGTCAGGAATGTTGTTGTACAACTTAGTTTAGAAAATTGTTTATTAATAATTAGCATGACCTTATACAATTATTTTATGATTCTGCCAGTTTATTGTGTTCATTGATCTGTACCTCTTCTTTACTGTTGACAAGTCAAGTTTTATCTACACAGTGTTGAATTAAGTAGCCAAACTGGTCACATACCTAAAATTCTACATACGTTTGGGGCCACATCAGCAATATAAAATGGCTAAATAAATATAGATGTGTGATACAGAAAGCTCAAAGAAGCCATCACATATTATTACTAGAAAGCAATAGAATGAAAGAAAGCAAGAAGTGATCGGTCTAAAGTTGAAATGGTATGTCTAGGAACTATATGTGCTAGTGTAACGTGTAGAATGTAACAGTAGATCACACAACATAAAAATATATCCATTCTGCCAGTGTAACGTGTAGAATGTAACAGTAGGTTACACAACATAAAAATATATCCATTCTGCCAGTGTAACATGTAGAATGTAACAGTAGGTTACACAACATAAAAATATATCCATTCTGCCAGTGTAACATGTAGAATGTAACAGTAGATCACAACATAAAAATATATCCATTCTGCTAGTGTAACATGTAGTATGTAACAGTAGATCACACAATATAAAAATATATCCATTCTGCCAATGTAACATGTAGAATGTAACAGTAGGTTACACAACATAAAAATATATCTATTCTGCCAGTGAAACATGTAGAATGTAACAGTAGGTCACACAACTGAAAAATATATTCATTCTGCCAGTGTAATGTGTAGAATGTAACAGTATATCACACAACATAAAAATATATCCATTCTTCCGGTGTAATGTGCAGAATGTAACAGTAGGTCATGCTGGATTGGAGTGGAAGTTTCTAAAACTCAGAAACTTAAAGCAGTGGTAGAGATGTAGAGATGTAATGGCATCCGTCAGTCCCGGGGGACTATGGAGATGTGCCGCTGGCTTTGGGAACAGCATCTGCTGTGACTGTAAAGTCCGATGCGGGAGTGGCAGTCTTTGCCACACAAAAGCAGATACTCCCTCGTTGTGAGGCAGTTTTACTCTCTGGTGCCTCCTCTCCACAGCTCGTTGTGTTCGGTTTCTTTCAAAATGTGACAGTCCATCTTTCGCTTTCTGTCTCCATAGTAGTCGATCTGCAGCTGATTTTTCCCATGTCTCTGTGCCTATGTTGGTATCTATTAGGTCACGTTTGCATACATCTTTATAGCGCAGCTTTGGCCTTCCTGTAGGTCTATTCCCAGTTACCAATTCACCATATAGGAGATCTTTTGGAATACGACCATCCTCCATGCGGGAGACATGTCCCAGCCAGCGCAGACGTCTTTGCTTCAGTATACAATACATTGATGGTATTTTTGCTCTTGTCAGCACACATTCGTTGGAGACAAGGTCTCGCCATAATATACCAAGGATGCGTCTCAGACAGCGAATATGGAAGGTATTCAGTCTTTTTTCCTGTGGAGCATAGAGAGTCCAGGATTCGCAGCCGTACAGTAACGTGCTCAGGACACAAGACTCATAAACCTTCATTTTTGTGTTATCAGTTAGCTTTTTGTTTGACCAGACTCTCTTTGTGAGATTTGCAAACATAGCAGAGGCCTTTCCTATACGTTTGTTTAGTTCTGCATCCAGAGAATGATTGCTTGAGATACGTGAGCCTAAGTACTCAAACTCATTTACAGCCAGCAGCTGATGGTCATACACACTAATGTTTGGTGGATTTCCAACATTCAATCCCATCACTTGTGTTTTGTTCAGACTGATGGTAAGCATTTGCAAAGCGATTCATCAGGATCTGCAGATCATCCTCTGAATGTGCCACAATGGCTGCATCATCCGCAAACAGAAAATCCCTGAGGCATCTCGTGTGCACCTTCGTCCTTGCACGTAGCCTGGACAGATTAAAAAGATTGCCATCTGACCTCGAACTGAGGTATATCCCCTCAGTTGCTGTCCCAAATGCACGCCTCAATAATGCGGTAAAAAAGATGCCAAACAGCGTGGGAGCCAGAACACATCCTTGCTTTACTCCATTTCGAATCTGGAAGGGTCGAGATGATGAGTCCTCATATATTATGGTCCCCCTCATATTCTCATGAAAGGATTGGATTAAGCTCAGTAGTATAGGTGGACATCCATATTTTTCAAGGATCCCGAATAGACCATCTCTTCTGACATAGTCAAAGGCCTTAGTGAGATCTATGAAAGCAATGAGTAGTGGCCTCTGTTGCTCTCTGCACTTTTCTTGTAGCTGCCTGATGGAGAATATCAAATCAACTGTTGATCTCTTGGCCCTAAACCCACACTGTGATTCCGGGTATACTCTGTCCGTTAGAATTTGCAACCTCTTTAGGATAACACGAGCAAAGACTTTTCCCACATAATTCAATAGAGAGATACCGCGATAGTTGTTGCAGTCGCTTCTATCTCCTTTATTTTTATAGAGAGTTATAATGTTGGCATCTCTCATTTCCTGTGGCACCGATTTTTCTTGCCAACACTGACAGAAGATCTTGTGTAGCTCAGGAAGAATAGCATCCTTGGAGCATTTTAGGATCTCAGGTGGGATACCATCTTCTCCTGGGGCCTTCCCTGAAGGAAGCCCATCTACTGCCTCACCGATTTCTGTGACGGAGGGTTCCGTGTCTAGTTCACCCATGGTTGGCAGACACTCCATTGCATTTAAGGCCTCTTCACATACAAAGGTGCTTGTAGCATATAGCTCTGAGTAGTGCTCCACCCAAGGGTCCAGCTGCCTTGTCCGATCCTTTATGATTTCGCCCGTGGTTGATTTGAGAGGGGCAATCTTTCATTTTACTGGCCCA